CCCAGGGGGACCCGGCACCGCCCCGGGGGGACCCGGCACCGCCCCCAGGGGGGACCCGGCACCGCCCCCAGGGAGACCCCGCACCGCCCCGGGGGGACCCCGCACCGCCCCCAGGGGGACCCGGCACCACCCCCAGGGGGACCCGGCACCGCCCCGGGGGGACCCCGCACCGCCCCCAGGGGGACCCCGCACCGCCCCCGGGGCCGCGGGGAGGGAGCCCGAGCAGTGCCCCGTGCCCGCGGTGCCTGCCGAGCCCGCTCCAGCCGCGCCTCGGGGCTGCTCCCCGCCCGGGGTCCCTCGGCAGGCCGGGCCTGCCCCGGACTCCCGCAGCAGGAGGAGCCGGTGCGCGGGCACCTGGTTCGCCCTCCCGTAACACTGCCGAGATCTGAGTAACATCTCTCCTAATCCGAACGGCGGTGCTTTTGTCTCTCCCATGCCAACACCTTAAACGAGCCGTTGTCAGAGCTTAAAATTACTGTAACCTACCTGAATAAAAGTCTGTGTTTTGCTCCTCGGTATCCTGTGGGCGCACAACAGCGACCAGCCTGGGTTTGGGGTCAGTGACCTCGCTGGAGAGTTCGAGGTCATCTCTGGGCAAACGCTGGATCCTGCCCGGATCTGAGATGGTTCAAAACCCATCACTCACTCCGGACTAACAAGGAGCTCTTGTGCCACCAGAGTCAGTTTCTCCTCACGCTTTATGTTCCTGTTCCTCCTGCAGCTCGTGGCTGCCCCAGAGGGCCCCGCTCCGAGGGAGTCACTGGCAGAGCTCTGTGCTGACCCCCAGGACATCCCTCCCTGTGAGGTGAGTGCAGCTCCCTTGGAGTTACGGAGCAGTGTTCTCATACGCTGCTGGCACTTCTATTAGGGACTAAATTAAGCAATGGGAAGGAGCAGTCCTTGGAAAACTAAAGTGAAAGTTGCTGGTGTTGAATCAAAGGACAAAATACCTTCTTTTATTTACTATTTCCCTTGTAGAGCACAACCAAAGAAGAAGAAGAAAGTGGATGTGAGGAGAGAGCAAGCACAGAAGGATCGTATGAAAAAGAAGCTTAAGAAGTTGGAAAAAGCTGCCCCAGAACTGGTTCCAATTGAGGATTTTATAACCCCACTCAAGTACTCAGACAGCAACAGGTCAGTGACTCTGGTTTTACCATGTGCCTGCATTCACAGTGAATTTCCTTCTCTGTACAACTGCAGCCAGCCTTGGTACAAAACCTTATCCACTTCCAGAAGGACAAAAACGTGAAAAGGAAATTTTATTTGTTCTTGCTAAAAATAATGAAAAAAACAGTAACATGAATTTCCTGTTAGAATGACTGGGATGTCCTTGCAGACAGACCAAATTATTAGTAAATTAAATGTATTCTCTGGGTTTGGTGGTTTGTTGTTGTTGTTTTAGTGGTCTGATTTTTTTGATTTGGTCTTTGAGGTCAGGCTGCTTCTCTCTCACAATGTTACCCCACTCTCTGCCAGGGTGCGAAGCCTTCCCGCTCTGTCTCCTGAGGAGACTGAAAGAAGAGTTTTACTTCTGAAGAAGTGGTGTTTGTTTAAGCAGAAGCAGGACGAGGCAGAAAAGAAAGGGATTCAGCGCCTGGTGGAATCTCAGCAGGAGGCACTGAAGGAGCTGCGCCTGGAATCCGAGGAGCTGTACCAGGCAGCCATCCGACGGGACGAGGGGCTTTTCCCCTTCCAGAGGGATGGACCCACCTACACCCCCCCCCTTCCTGGCTACGACCCACCCGAGGGGAAGTGTGTTGATATCACCAAGGTGTACACACAGTGAGGGAGGAGGGCCTGGGGCACCCGCCCGGAGCTGAAGGAAGGAAGGACTGAAGGGAGAAGGAATCACAATTCCTGTGCAGGTTACAACGCTGCAGGTGTGTGACTGTAAATAAAACATTAGTGAAGTATCTGTGTGTTTGGATGTTTTTAGGAATTATCCAGGTAGTAAGACACCCAGCCAAGCTACACAACCTTACCCAGTCACAAAGCCAGTTATTTTATTATATTGCCACATAACTCGTGTAACCAAGTTTCCATGGGTTTGCCCTAAACCAAACCAGATCTCTCTCTACATTTGTTTAAACCTTTATTTTTGTAGTAGTTTTGAATACTACCACAACACACACCATCATTCAAGAGTAGTTCCACAAAGGGGCAATTTCAGGGTCTGCAGCACCTCCCCATCAGGTGAGAAGCTCTTAACCCACAACAGTCCTGTTCTGGGAAATGCCTTTTAAATGCCAGTGGCTGGGATTGTCCTGAACTGGAGGGAGGATTCCCAGCTTGTTTGTTTCCCATTTGCAGGCCTGGGGTTGGTACCTTGTTCCAAAAATGCACACCACCAGCTGGTAGGGGAGGAGGCCCTGATCTAGCAAGAGGAGCTGGATCATGTGTGCATTAATTTGGGAGTTGCCTGCTGAGTTGCTGAGACAAAATCCTAAAGTGTAAGACAGCAATACAAGGCCGGAGACAAATTAAGCACCTCAATTCTCCCTTTAGAAAATACTCAACGTTTAAATAAACTCTCAGTACTTTTGAAAGAGTGCTCAAGTATTGCAGGGCAGAGCTACAGTTGTATAACTTCAAGATGATATGGAAGAAAAAAAAAGGCAGCACAGTTCTGAATCGTGTATTAAGTTACTGACCAAACACAGCAAACAATCTTCCTAATTTGGTTTGTCCTGGTCAAGGGGTAGATACCAGTCTGGTGGAGGACTCTTCCTGAGTGTCCACACCGGAGCATACTTCTGGCTTTCCATAACTCGGGCTCTTTCACTCTTGCACAAAGCTTCCTGAAACAGAGGAAAAATATTACCACGATAGTGTTGGATATTCCAGTCCTACAGAGCCCATTTCCTGTCGTGACTATCTGAGATAAAAGAAGAAAAAGAAATTTATCATGCTTAAACAGAAGTGCCAAATGCTATCTAAGTAAGCCAGGATACAGGTTTTTAACTAAGTCATATTTTGCCTGTGACTCCTGCATTACGAAGAGAACTACCAGTTCAGTGCAACCCTCCCCGCCAAGGGCTGTCCTGCCTGGCTGAAGGGCCGTGTTACGCTGTAGCCTTTGCTGCAGGGCCCGAGTCCTCCAGCGTCCGTGGGGCTGTAGCCAGAGGCATTTCTGGGCACCGCAGGAACACGTTTTGCCCGTAACGTCGCAGCTTTTCCTATCAGGAAGGGAATGTCACAGTAACTGAAACCAAGGGCTTTTGCAGCAGAACACTGAAAATACTCCCTGGATCCTTAAGCGGATGTCAAGACAATCCTACCCACCTGCTTTTCCAAGCCCTCCCCGCATCCGCGGCAGCCCCGGGCGGTACCTGCGCGGCGGCGGCGCGGTGCCGCTCCCAGGCCCGGCAGGCCTCGTAGTCCTCCCGCCAGCGACCGCAGGCCGGCAGCTCCCCGTGCGCGTAGTAGTGGTGGAAGGCGTGGCGCAGCCCGCGGCAGTGCTTCCACTCCCCCCAGTAGTCCTCGCACGGCCGCGGCGGCTGCGGGCGGAGACGGGGCCGGGCTGAGCGGAGCCGAGCCGAGCCGAGCCGAGCCGAGCCGGGCCCCGCAACCCCTCACCCGGCCCCGCAACCCCTCACCCGCCACGAGCCGCCCGCGTCCGCCATGCCGCGCCTCCGCCAATGGCCGCCGCGCTTACGGCGACACGCGCGGGCGCGGCCAATGGCGAGGGGCGGCACAAAGCGGCCCCAGGCCGGGAGCCAATGGCTGCCCGGCGGGCGGCGCGTGACCGGCGGCCCCTCACGGCGAGCCGGGACCGGCGGGAGGGAGGCCTCGCTCCGGTCTGTCCGAAATCACCACACAGGGACGCGGCTGGTTACCAGGATCCTTTACTTTTAGCACAGCGCAGAGGTTGCCCCCGCGTACCCTCGGGTGACACCCACGCGGCCGTTCCAAAGCAGGGCGGCGCAGCTGGGTCTTGCCTCTCCCTACACCTGCCCTTAGATTGCTACGTTATAGTATCTGAACTATTAAAAGGCATGTTAATAATTATAAATATAAAAAGCACTTACAGGGGTTTTGCTTAAAATGGTTGAGAACCCAACACCTGAAGCTAAAGCTCAAGGAGACTCCCTGCACAAAAGTCCTAAACACCAAAGTGTCAGCCTTCACCTGCACCACACCAAAAAAGCTTACCTGAAATTGTGGCAAAATTATATAGAGAGGGAGGAAAACACCAAGCAAAGAGTGACATGAGACCATCATCACTCAGGATAGGAGAGGAGGATGTAGTCTAAGAACTGGATCTTTAGTAAGGTAGAGCTTGTTAGTTTTACTTCTCAGGTTGATCAGAGATCTACGTTCCACTCTTTACAACACATACAAAAAGCTCCTTCCAAATTCCCAGGACTCAATTTTCAACTGAAAATTAAGACAGTCTGACAGCTCCAGTTTTAAACATGAAACCAAAACCAGCAAGAGGGTTCCTATGTTGCAAAACGATCTCTCCTCACAACTGCAATAACTAAGATCCAATATGCTGCAACTGTTACTTTATTTTCCTCCTAACTAACTGAAGTACCACAGCCTAGGGCTTCCTTCCCTTTTTGCGCAGGGACTGGCCTTCTCCTGAAAAGGCAATAAACCGGCTTCCAGATTCATCCTGGAGAAAGGAAAGAGGGGAAAAAGGTTGTTACCTCTTTGCTCAGTGCTTGGGTGTGATGAAAGCTGAACGATCATTAGCAAGAACATTCCATCAGAGCAGCCACTGACTGCAGACATTTCCCATCCTTAATCTAGACATTAACACTTTCTTCCTGAAAATAAAACAGGAGTACTTCGAACCCGAAATGAGGGTGCACTGGCTCATGACACACCAGGCCCATCTTTTTACATCAGTAACAAGGACACCAGTTCTCACCTAACTCACACCAGTGAACTGCTACCACTTTTTAACAGAAGCATGCTGTGAAAATCAAGTATGGGGGGAGGAACCACAAACTTGGACCATAGTTCTAATGTTCTAATTCTGTGCAAGACTAGGAGCACTCAAATTTATTTACCTCTTCGACTTTCTTAACCAGTGGACGTGAGTTTCTAATGAATGTGATTCTACCAATCTTGAAGTCATAGTTGGGAATTCCTCTGGAAAAGAAGCATAAAAATATTATGAAAGAAGTTTTATACCTGTCATGGAATTGAACACAGCGAGACCTGTTCCATGTCTGTCAGTGTTGTACCCACACTCGCAGCATATTTCCATTACTAAATAATTCCAGTGTTAAACCACTGAATTATTTTCTGAAGGTTCATACATTGCATGAGGTAAATAACCCAATACTGGAGTTGCTGTGGAAGCTTGGCCAGGGCCATGTTTCCATGGGGCCTGTGGATAAGACCATTTATTTTCTAAAGGCAAGTTTATGATGAAATTAGTTTGTTTATATTGCAAGAGCAGGAAAAAAACCTAAAACTCTACTCAAACACTGATTCTTCACTTGCTGACAAGTGACTGAAACATACCTTCGGATGTCTCCTGGTTTAATTGGTGAGGGACTAGGCTCCACACCTTTCTTCTTGCCATCCAGTCTGTTCCCAGAACCCGAGAATGCCTATGGATACAGAATGAGTTTTAATTTAACTTCTCATATTTGAAAGTTCAGTGCACAGGGACACTGTATTCTGTACAATCTCACAGTCATTTTTATTTAGTTATTTGATTCAGCATGTCTCTTTTTGGTGCATATAAGCTGATGGACCCTGGGTGCAGGGGTATGTTTCAGTCTCCCATTTAGAGACTGCCCTTTACAGACAGCAAGTCATCCAGTTCCTGGCTGCAATCATCATGAAACACTTGCAGGTACTCACTAGTTAAATGACAATCACCTCTAAGGACAGATATTAGTATTCTGCAGTTGTTTGAAACAACTTTCCCTCGCCATTCTACAACATTCAGAAACCAGCAGAAATAGGGGACTTACACGAAATCCTATGTCACTCACATATCCACTGTGGTCTGCTTCCACATCCTGGGAGGGAGAAAACAATGGAGTTCATTGTGCTCACGCTGTGACACACACGTGTGGAAACAGTCCCACATACTTCTGACCAAACAGAACTTCAGAACAATCCCTTTCCAAAACCAACAGTTGGTAAACAACCATCTCCTAAGTAACACATGCAAAAGCTCCTGGTAAGTCAATTTTAACCTTAAGAACTTGTTTCAGGAAAAAAAAATTATGTTGGGGCTCATTGCTTCCCCACAAGCAATGCTGACTTCTAGGGAATACATTTTGGAAGAACAGAAGCTTAACCTACTGTGCTCTCTTCGTGTTGTGCACTTCTTTCTGGTTCTTTGTACCCCAAAGGAGCATCAAAATCCACCTATTTACACAAAAAGCATGAAAATAAATGTGGTTAATATTTTTCTTTTAATCATAAGCTTTATACTACTATTCCTCCAAACTCCACAAACTATCACAACGACATTTGATCTAGAAAGAACTGAGGTTTGTTTGTTGAACATTTTAACTCAAAACTAAAAAAAGACTAAGCCTCCCAGGAATGAGCCTTAGCACGTAACTGAAACAGAGCAGTAAAGCAGCACCACGGTATCACTGGAGTCTGAGTCAAGACAAAGCTATTAAATAAACCCCAGATAAAACACATTGAAGCTAACCATTAAATTCGAGGCACTAGTCACCTGATGGTACATGAAGTGCCACTCTAGACCACGGATGTGGTTACAAAGGCACGTGGAGTCCTCTCAAACGAGTCACCGTCCCCACCCATCTGCTGGTACCTGTTTTGCAGCACCAGAGGTGCTGGAGGTACAGCACTATCCCTCCCCCAGGAGGACACAGTCAGGGCAGACCCTCCCCATCAGCTGTCACTTACATTCATGTCACACTCGATGATGGACACGGCCTTATCCGGTTTGGTCTCCATCACCCGCAGCTCATAGATCTGAAACAGGAATGGGCATTTTAGCACTGCACATGAAAAAGCTCAACTTTACGTATAAGAAAGCAGATATAAGCCCTTCCCTTCAAACAGCTTCAAGAAGACTGCAGTAAGTACTCTAGGTTGAGGACTGGATACTGCAGGGTCTCTACAGAACTTAAGAGCAAAGGTTTTTAACTCAGAACCGAGAGAACCTGCCTATTACTGTACCTTGCTGCACTGTTACTGTACTTTAATCTGCACTTTTGAAAACAAATTAGGATTAATTCTGTCCCTTGGCTTGTAAAAACTTTAACAGTGCAAAGGCTTATTTTCTTGTGAGTCAAAAGAAAGGTTAAACAGCAGTTCAGGGAAAGGCTTAAATGACCCCTTTTTCCCTCCAACAGAAAACCAGCTGCGAAATCTCCCATTTGGAATCACTTGTCAACAACACTGCACAGCTCTGGGTTGACTGTTTTAGCACCAACATCCACCAGCTGAACTTAGTCCACAACCCTCAACCCTCTCCTGTACCTTTTCATTGTAGTTGATGGCAATAACATCCCCAGTCGTTAGACAGGCGAAGTTTCTCAATGCATTCTCCAATCTTCAGAGCATGTTAAGATGAAACACTTGTACTCAAGGCAACATCAAAGCTTTAAGGTTACTGTATTACAGACCTCTGATCCTTGGGCTCTCAAACATGGTTTAAAAATCATCAGCACACCAGAGGTAGCCTTTTAGTAAACATTAGGGTGTACAAGTTCTTCAAAAGGACACTCAAAATTCATTGGACTTTTAAGCCAAGATTCCTGCTGCTTCACTCCAGGCCACACTTGGTGCCAGCAGCTGGCCACATCTCTGTGCAACAGCTCTCCATCCTTTTTGTTCTCAGAAGGAGCAGCACTAGTCACCTACTAGCAGAAGAGTATGAGCCCCACCTGGAAAGTTAGCTCTGCCTGATTGTTCCAATCTGGGAGAAAAATCGTTTTCCATCATCGAATAGGAAGGATACACAGCTTTGGGATTGGTGATGTCAAGAAAATCTGGACTCTGTGGCTGGAATTTTGAGTAAGTAGCAACCTGCAGATTAACACTCTCCACTTGCACCAGGCCTCCCTCTTCCAGCAGCAAGTTCTGCATCATCTGCAGGAATGGAAACAAAGATACAAACCATCAGTCAGTATGTCTGATGTTTTCAAATCTCTTTCTTTGTGCATATCTAGTTTTGCTGGGGCCACCATCTTCCTTGACATGCACCTGTCTACCCTGGTTTCACTTCAGGAATAGCAGCCAGGTGCACCCTGAACACAGGCTGCTTTGCTTAGTTAACCTCTCGAGGAGGGGAACCTGAGCTGGGACTGAAAGCTGCTGGAACACGAGCAGCAGAGACACGTTCAGGAAACACTGCTCTTCTTTAATATTAAACTGGCAGGTTGTGAATGCTGCTGCTGAGTTGTGCCAGTGCAGCAGGAGCAGCTCACCCAGTGTGGCAGGTAACAAATGCCCTCGTCAGCCACGAACTCGAGCACCCCGCAGTGCGTCATGCGGTCCGAGTTCTTGTTGGTCAGCTTGAACAGCATGGGGTACGTGATGTTCAGGCGGCCTGAGAGACAGGGGAGGGAAAATCTGCTGGTCAAAAGCCACCAACACATCGCTGAAGCTTTCAAACATCACCAAGAGAACGGGCCAGACTGCAGGAAAGGATTCCCCTCCCACCATTATCCCAACTGCCCCAAACTACAAATCCAGGAGAGAAAGCAGATACCCAAATACTGTGTTGGCATCACACCTGGAGCTGTAAATCCACCCCCAGCCTTTCCCCAAGCTCAGACATGAGCAGGCAGCAGGAATGAGAGAGGAATCTATTACTGTTATGTCCCTGTGCTATTATCACTCAGCATCTACCTAATGACTTCTAACAGGTCCTGCCTATTTTAAAATTAAATGACTAAAGTAATTTCTCAAAGAAATTCTATTAAGACTAAAACTCCAAGGGGGAAAAAAAACCCCTTAGTTAAAAAGGCTAAAAAAGACCCTTTATGTTGTTGATTTGGTTATCTTTTCCCCAATTCAAAGTTAATTCTCACTTATTTTGTTTTTAAAATAAATTTTGCTGCAGATAACATTATCCAGGACAACCTGGTTGAGATTAAGAATTTACAAGATTAATTGTAACCATTATTCTGAGTACACTATTAACAGTTAATAAATATTGATTCACACCTCAGGTAGCCCAACACTTCGGATGTCTGTACTTGAAGACAGACAAGCCCCATTAATTTTGACAGGAAAAACACCTTTAGAATACATTTTTTAACTAATTGGTCTATTCTCCATTTAAGTCAGACTTCAAGAGATAGCTAAAACACTGTGGCATTTGCCTACACGTTTGCTCATATTTCTAATGTCATTGTTCCAGAATAAAATATTCACTTACTGAGTTGATCCAAAGCCGACGGTGGCATAATTACTGCAGGGATGAATAGAAATGTAAGATTAGAAAAAGCACATCTGTACAAGAGTACATAACATACGATTTTACCATTTCTTTCTCTAGTCTCCTCTAAACAGAAAGGAGATTCTAAAATCTCCTGCAAATTCATTTTTAGCCAGAGATTTCAGTAGAAACAGTCATGATAAATGTACTTGCTAATGGTAATTCAGAATTTAATCAGAAAAGAAAAAAAAAGAGGACACAAGGTTTTACAATACCTAGTGCTAAGGAAAATATTTTCTAAAGCTAATTTTACTTGTTTGGGCTCACAGGTGCTCTTTAATGACACCAACTCAAAACAACACAGCATTGATCTGACAGCTTGAAAATGAAGTTAGCCAATCTATTATTCTTTGTTCAAGTTAAGTGAGGTACAAAAACGGGGTGGAGGGAGAAAGCTCTTAGTCACAAACTTCCATGGCTTATACTAGATCCAAGATTGTAACAAGAGACTTCAAAAAATAAGACTGTCTTACTCTAACGTTCCTAAACCCAGACTCACTCGGTAAGTTTGTTAATTACAGAGTAAGGCAATGGAAGATGACGCCTCCTCCTTCCTCAGGGCCCCACCCAGGGTGCTCAGCTGCCTCCTGCCGTTCAACGCCTCCGCAGTCTCGGTCAAAAGCTGCGTTACTCGACAACATTCACAAACACCCTTCCAACAGGTTTATTAGTCAAAATAAAACATGCACATACTCTTCCCGCCTTTCTCCACATCTGACCTGTCATTAGGCCCGGCCAGCATGGACACCGAGAAGCAGCGGTACTGGGTGGAGAAGCGGTTCTGGAACACGCGGGGGATGGGGTGGTCGAACATGTTAAACGAGAACTAGAGCGGAGAAAACAACACAAAGAGAAGGACGCGTTAATCTGCGCCGCAGCCCCCCCGAGCGCTGCCGCAGCGCAGCGGCCCTGCCCCGAGCCCCGGGCTCACCATGGCGGCGGTGCCGGCGCCGGGGCTCCCTCGGGCCGCCGGGTCGGGCCGGGCCGGGGCCGCTGCTCCACCTCACGGGCTGGGCGGGCCCGCCCCGCCCCTCCCGGCGTGCCCCGCGCCGCCCGCGCCGCCATGGCCTGTGAGGGCGGAAGGCGGGATCCCGCACCTCAGAGGCGGCATCGCACCGGGCTCTGCTGCCTGTCGGGCCCCCTCTGGGTCACCAGAAGTTGTTGAAGCCCTGTCGCCCCTTGGTCAGGCTCGCTTTAATGGTAGAACAAACACCTCGCCCGCGGCAAAGATGGCGGACGCGGCTACAAAACCTTAGAGCGGTGCTTCCGGCTGAGGTCCTCTCGGGATTGGCTGGCCGCGCGCGTCGCCACCGCCTCCCTCCAATCCCATTGGCGGACACCCGGAATGGGTTGGGCAGTCGGCGTCGCGGCGGCGTGGCTGCCGCGTTCCCATTGGCCAGCGTGCCGTGAGGCGCGGACCAATGGGACGCGGCGCTGGTTTGGCGCCCAGTTTGAGCGGGGACGGCCCGGGAGCGGGGGCTGCTGCTCCTCATTCCCGCCGCTCCTTCCCGCCTGCTCCTCATTCCCGCCGCTCCTTCCCGCCGCTCCTTCCCGCCCGCTCCGCATTCCCGCCGCTCCTTCCCGCTCCTCCTTCCCGCCATGTTCGTCTCCGACTGCCGCCGGGAGTTCTACGATGTGATTGTCACCCAGGTGCGGTGACGGGCCGCGACCGGGGCTGGGGGGGTTCCCTTCAGGGCTCTCTCTCTCCCCCGCTCTCGGGACTCTTCTCCCTCCCTGTGGGCTCCCTCTGTCCCCTCGCCCTCAGAACTCTCCTCCCTCAGGGCTCCCTCTCCCCCCCTCCCTCAGGGCTCGCTCTCTCAGGGCTCCCGCGGTTCTCGCCCCTCACGGAGCGGGGCCGGTGCGGGCCGTCCCGGCGCTGAGGCCCGAGGTCGTAAAGCTTTTGTGAGACAGTGTTTTGGCATTTCCACCCTTGAACCTGTATTATGGATTGTGCTAATGCAAGTATTTCTCTCGATTTCTCCAACTGTGAGCAAAATCTCAAAAAAACCACCCCAAACCCAAACAAAGCGACACCCTTGCAAAACAAAAACAACAGCAAAACTGAAAACAAAACAACAAAAAATCAACCCACCAGTCAACCTTGATTTAGGCAAAACAATTTATTTCACGCATTGCCTAGATCTTACTTTAGTAAGATTTTCTTTAGTCAAAATTGTTCCAGATCCCGTGCTGAAAACCAAGGCCTTTCTAGACACAATTAAAATAGTTGTAGGGATTGATTAGTTGTGAACCTTGAAACCAGTGACTGATTCAGAGGAGTCTGAGTAGTTACATTTCCCTAAAGCAGCTGACATATTTTGGGTATCCTTTGGAGTTGCTTTTTGTTCATATTACGGGGATCCAAACTGGTTAATTTTGGTTGCAGTGTCCATTCAGAAGCAATCCCATTTTATACTTATGATGATCTCTACCTAAATTTCTGGCCTCACAGTGGTCTATGCATTTCATGTTCCAGCACGTCAGATCTGGCACCTGTATTAATATATTTATTTTGTTATTTTTGCAGCGGGTTCTTCTTCTTGTTGCTTCGGATGTTGATGCATTATGTGCTTGTAAAATACTCCAGGTAAGTCTTGGTTCATTATCACTGCAGTAAAAGAAAATATGCCCCGGGATCCTTTCAATGGGTTTGAACCAGGGAAAGGGTAGAGGTTTAATCTGCTTTTGTAACTTTTTCCATTAGTTCTGATACTTGAAAATGGTGAGTCATACTCTGGGTTCGTGTAGATTTGTCATTTGGGATGTCTTTACTAGAAAGATTTGTAGGGAATAGAGTTTGGCACTGTAGAAGCTGCTTCCTTGCCGTGCACTGACAGCTGTTTGTTCCCTCCAGGCCCTGTTCCAGTGTGACCATGTGCAGTACACCCTCGTGCCAGTGTCTGGGTGGCAGGAGCTGGAAACTGCCTTTCTCGAGCACAAAGATCAGGTGAAAAAACACGGGAAACTTTTTAAACTGCAGCTCAGCTTTCAAAGAGAGGCACTTCTTCCCTTTTCTCACTTAAAATGTCAGCTTTTAAACTACTTGTTAGTAATGGTTACCTCAAAACTGTGGTTACATTTTATCATTCCAGTAACAACCTTGTTAAGTTCTTCATATCAGGTCAGACTAATGTGTTATAATTTTGATAGAGTCAAATTAGGTTTGCATACCTTTTGAGACATATAGAGCGGTGGTATTGGATGTCCCCAAATTTGGTGTTTTGTCTTAAAAAAATTTCTGCTACGAAGACATCAAATATCAGAAAGCAAATACAAGTTTTGGGGATGATGAGTGTTTTGAAGGTTTTGTAAAGGTATTTTCAGTCTCCTATGTCCCCTGTTAATTTAAGTAACAAGCTTTTTTCTTTTTTCCCCTCCTTTTTTTTGCAGTTCAAATACTTTGTTCTTATTAATTGTGGTGCCAATGTTGACCTCCTGGAAATCCTGCAGCCTGAAGAAGACACGTTTTTTTTTGTATGTGACAGCCACAGACCTATCAATGTAGTGAATGTTTACAATGACACCCAGGTAAAGGCTTTTCTTTCGTGATAAAAACCTCCCCACAGTGTGGTGCTGAGTGGTGTAGAGCTTCTCTGTGTTTTGCAAAACTGCTTCCACCATTATCAGTAGGTCAGGAAGCAGCATTAATGAGTATTTGCAGTAGTAATGTACATGATCAGAAAAAAATAATCTATTTTCAGCAGTAAAATCTATACTGTTAGCAGTGTGAGATTTGTCAGTAGTAAACACATATTAATCTTGGTGCTATAAATCAAGCTGCCATAAATCAGGGGATAAACATCCTCCAGAGTGTAATATGTATTATCTCTCAGCACCTAGCAACACCCAGACTTTCAAGTTTTAAACACAAATTATTTGATTTTAACAATCAAAAAAAAAGTAAAAATAATTCATCCAGTAACGCTGTAAAAAAGGAATATGGGTTTTTTTACCCTTATTTTGTATAAATCATTGTGGTCTTTGTATTAAAAACCAATGTTTTTGACATGTCTGGAATTGAATTTTTGGTTTCTTTTACTAAAAATACTTAATTATTCTCATTTGTCATTTAAGATGTTTTACTCCCTAAATACATTTTTTTCTTGCTAGATTAAGCTGTTGGTCAAGCAAGATGATGATCTCGATGTTCCTGCTTATGATGATATCTTCAGAGATGAAGAGGAGGAAGAGGAGGATTCAGAGAATGAAAGTGAGGGGTCAGAACCTTCAGACAAACGCAGACGTTTTGAAGAGGTGTGTTTCTGCTACTTTGTTGTGAAAATCAGGAAAACAATGCTGTTAAAACGTGTATTTTGCATCATAATAATTGTATTTGAGTTTAAAAATTGTGTTCCACTAGATCACACATTCAAGTGCATCACCTAAAAATAATCAGGTAGAGTTTCACATATAACGAACATTTATTTATCTGAACTGCACAGAAATATTTTCTCCTAATAAAAAAAGATGTTTTGAACTTGATTATGTTTAATGACTTCTTAAAACTGTGTTCCTTGGAAAAATATTTGATACTAATACTTTTCTCATGAGATGTTGTTCATGGCGATATTCTTTTTTTACTAATTCTTAAAAAAAGTTCTTTATAATGAATACCTTAATTACATTTTTAAATTAAGATCTAATCATTAAAGTGTCTAGATGCTAATGTATTTTTTAACATCCAAATTAATGCACAGGATGTCATAGAGAGGACGATGAGAAGGCGACAGAGGCGGGAGTGGGAAGCACGCAGGTGTGTTGACTGGTTTTTGTGTTGCTTGTACCTCTTTTTTTACTCTCAATCTTTGACTAGAATCTTGTTAAGAATGCAAACACATGATCCCAGGCTATGATTTGCAAGATGCTTTAGTTCTAATTTTGTTCAGAAAGCTGAGAGGGATATTTACTATATAAAAATAAAATGTTTAAATGAAGGAAGTTGAAAATAGTAATTTAAAATCTGAGTAGCAATGGGTGCATTGCTTTACTGAAATAGCTGTGGTATTCTTATCCTGTCTGTCCTAGGGTGAAGTCTGTGCTTCTGTCTTCTTTCACAGTCTCATTAATAGGAATGGGCAGGAACAAATAAGATAAAATGGGCTTTGAGGAATAATGACTTAATAAATTTTTCCTTTTTGCTTTATGAGTACATTTCAGAGTGGTTTCCACATTATTACTAAAGTCTGTTTGCCTTCCACAATTTCTAGCCCAACTTTAATTTTTTTCATTGCTAAAATGAAATTGAGATATTATTCACAATACTAGACTTATATTTTCAATTGGATCCAATGACCAGTTCATCCTTTAGTCAAATGTATTGGGTTTTTTCCCCTTTTCAGACGAGAAATTCTCTTTGATTATGAGCAATATGAGTACCATGGGACCTCAGTGAGTATAAACTCTTTGTTTGCCATAAAAACTCAAGGTGACAATGTAAAAGTAATTGGACAATATCCGAGGTTATAATTACCTATTACAATTATATAATTATCTGATGATAATATACATTATATACACGTAGTGTATGTACTTATATACACGTAGTTTAACTTAGTTTAATGGTTTCTGGTTGATTTTTACGTCTTGACAAACGTATCTGTCTATGCACAAGATACTTTCACAAAAAGACCTGAGCATGTAAGGGCCTTGTTTGTCTTTCAAAGTTCAGGATACCCCAAACATGGCACTTAGGACATCAAACTGTTCCTTATGTCCTTTGATGATATTTATATTTTGTTAAGTGTTTGCTTTATATATAATGCAGGTTTACAGAGCAATCTGAAACATTTTGCTTTCTCCTTAGTATCTTAGTAAGACTCTGGCAGATTGTCAGACTCCAGTGTGATTTAGTAACATGCCAAGAGTTGGCAAATCCCCCTGGGTTCTGCCTGTGTACTGAGGTGACAATCCTGTGACTGTTTGTGCTGCCTTCTTGCTTTTCCCCCTCACAGTCTGCGATGGTGATGTTTGATCTGGCCTGGATGATGTCCAAGGACCTGAATGATATGCTGTGGTATGTT